CTGGCAAGAGTTTGGGTCTCAGACCTAGCTCGCCTAATACTGGGTACCAGACCTCCCAGTTTGAGCTGGACGACCTTGGTGACTATGGTCGTCATCTGGGTCCTAGGCTTGCCTCCGATATTTTTTTCGAGCGTCACGATGACGAGGGGACGAAATCTACTGCGGATACGCTCAATAACCTTTGGAAAGGGTATCACATCTCGTCGGGGGTTTCCTTCCTTCTCCCGTAGAGCAGCGATCGACCATGAAATCCTTCTCTGGGGTACATGTGTCTGTATAAGTCCTTTATTTACGAAGGTGGGCTCTGGTTCCCTCTTCCAAGGATTTTAGTTGAATACTGTGCTCGGAAAAAGATTGCGATGTCTCAACTGACGATCACGTCCATCCGTAATCTGGTCGGGCTGATGGTAATGGCAACCGAGCTTGGTCGGAAGCTCTACTGCGATTCCCTCGAGGATCTGACAAAGATCTCTCGAAAAATAGCGAAAGGAGGTCGTTTCTATCTTAGCATGAAGAAATCCCTCATCGAGTGCTCCAAAGGCAACAAGACTGCCAACTGCGAGACTCGTTATTTCTTTATGAAGATCGATCAGGCCTCGGTCGGGAATCTGGACTGGGAAATCTGAGCAGGATGGAACACCGAGATCAGTATTTATTTTGCCCTTGTGTTTTTCTTGGATTGATCGGTACTGACGCCTGACCTGTTTTCTTTATTTTATAGTTCGTCATTGCGGGCTCCGTCATTTTGCAAAGGGATTTACCGAACTGAGAGACAGATTACTTTCGTTTGGACCTCAGTGGTGGCTGGATTTTCTGAGTCAGCGAATCTGTCGTGCTCTTTCTCGCATTCAATCGGGTGAGTTTCTCTTGCTTTCCACGCCTCGTTTTCACTGTCTTGTGGCGGTTACCTGAAGTTTATGTTCGTCGCTTCAGGTCGATACGATATCGAGCTCGCTCAGCTTAGACCTTCCCTTGCTCGATCTCAGGATTAGAAGGGAGAGAAGTCATCCACCAGAAAGAAAGTGCAGAGCAGCGACGCGGGGAGGAAGAAGGGTAAGGCGGCTCAGAAGCTCCCGACTAAGCACAGAGTTGGAAAGGGCCTGATGGTGAAGCCTTCTTCTGTCATTCATAACTACGCCGCCCGGACGAAGCAAATGGAGGAATAATGCAGGAGGAAGAAAGAGGAAAAGGAAAGGAGAACGGCCGAACAGGCTCAGAAGAACGCTGCTGAGGCTTCTTCTGCAGCTGACCTCCCGCCGACCACTGAGGTCGATGACTCTCTCGCGGGGGATGATAACCGAGAGGTTGTCAATGTTTTAGACGAGCGTGGATCCCCGTCTGACAATGTTACCCTCCGAGCTCGTCAGGACGAGCTTGCGGCTGCCCGTTTGGGCAAGAGGGTCAGAGTGGATGATAGCGAAGGGTCCGCTGAAAAACGAATTAACACTAATGGCGAGGCCTCTTTGCCTCTTCCAAGCGCTGTCATCCCGGTCCCGGCTGCGAATCCGTCGGTGAGCGGGGTGACAGAGGAGCAGCGCGAGGTGGACCCGAGCCGCTTTGACTTCGACTACTTCTTTAAAGGAGACGGGCGTCCTTTGCTGTGGTTTCCCCGTAGATGCGCGGTGCTTACGAGCAACATCCAAGGAGAAGAGCCCTACTCCTTGTTCAAACTGAACCACCTCTCAGCTCGTAAATAGTATGTTGACTGGTCGCAGAGTGTAGTTCAGGTACTTTTGATTTTAATTTTGCTTGTTTTGATCCGTTCAACAGTCGATCATGCTTTCGTTTCTGATCTTGCAAACGTCGCAAGCGCCAATTACATGGTCGAGTAGTATGAACGACTTTTAAAGAAGGCTGACGACCGGGTAGCCGGATACAGGGATAAGCTCGCTAAAGGAGGTCAGAGAGTCAAAGAGCTCGTTCAGAGCGTGCAGGGTGCGCTTGACCAAAATGCTGCTCTTCGGAAAGATAACGAGGTACAGCGAGACATCATCAAGTCTCACGCCATCGCTTTGAAGAATGAGAAGAAGAGGCTATGGGACTCTCGATCTCTTGCGGTCGAGAATGAGAGGAGGCGTACCGAGGAGAGGATGATGTCGAGGATGGAGGTCAAGCTCAGGAAACTGAAGCGGCATTGCCGGGAGACAGAGCAAGTACATGTAAGGTATATGTGAAAAATGTTCCACAAGTGCATTAATCAATACATTTAATTCAAAGAAAAAACATGGGATCTAATTTCCTGCAAGTAAAGGAAGTAACGAGTTTCAGGCAAAATAGGAGAAGTTCTTGTTGCGCTCCTCCATTTCTGCATTCTTCTTCTGCACTTGTTTGAGCTGGGAATATAAAGCACGAACATTTGTCTGAGGAAGTAATTCAGACAAATCATCATAAGCAAGATCACAGAATCAGTAAAACCAAATTCAAAAGTATTCAAAATTTCAAAACATCATTCAATCGAGAAATATAATGTATCCACCAATTCAAAACCCATAATCTTTAATAAGATGGAAAATTTAAGAATCAGGAAGTTAAAACAAGAAAAGGAAGATAGAGAGAAATATGTACCTTCAAAGCCTTGAGCTTTATGCTCCCATAGATGAGAACAACCAAATCGAAGCTGAATCTATGAAATTGAAGCTCAATTCGAAAGCATCCAAGCTTGATTGATAAAAAACTAAGCTTGATTCAATTGAAGAAGATGAAATCGACGGATCCAAAAGAGGCCGAATCAAAGCCGAATCACCGGTGAAAACCGACGAGGGAGAGACGGACGACGATTCATGCAGAGCCGGTTCTGATGATAAATCGCCAGAATCTTCATCATCGGAACCGCTTCGCAGTCGTAGAGAGATACAAAGAGAGAGCATCGCGATAAAGGAGAAGAATATTTTTTGCATTTGTTTGGTTTTTTTTTTAATGCGAACCAATCAAAACATGCCACGTATGGGGCTCTGGAGGTATATGAAAACTCTCGATTGAGAGTCGGTTCTGGGCTTTATTATCAATTTTTATTTTGTTTTTGAATTTTAAAAGTTGAGAACCTCACTCTAGAGACAGTGATGGAGCTAGTCTAATCTTCTACTATAAAAGATGGGTTTTCTCTCACAAGAGGTTGGCACCTAAACACCCATAGTTTTGACACATCATATTTAAAATTTTATTATCTTAATTAAAAAATATATATAGTATAAAATAGATTTTTTTTTTCTCGAGACTCTTACAAATTCCTTGAAAGTTGAAACAATAAATATTTTTTCATATATCAAAACAATTTCACCACTGAATTGTTGACTCAATAACAAAGAAAGTTTTAACTTTTGGTATTCCATTGCTATATTAGACATAAGGAACCATCGAACAAAAGGTGAAGAGCAAAAAGAAACAAAATTTGATCATAGCTTCATGATCCAACTCATAATAAAACCAAGTGGCCTTCTCACTTTCTATATCGTTTCCGGACCAATGAAGCCGAATCACTTTCTCATTCATATATCTCTTTTCGGACTCCATCGCATTAAGCTATTTTGCGAGTTTCTTCTATAAAGATATATATTTTTTTTTTTACTTCACTAGCCATAGTTTACAATTCGTCTAATTTGTTTGCGTAAATCTCAATTGATGCATTAGTACCAAGCCTTATGTGTATCACGTTCATAATAGAAAAGATTTTATAAAAGCTTCAAGGGGGAGTTACTAGAACTATTGTTGTAGAGTGTATATTTGTGTAGCCTTCTTCTTTTTACATGAAAGAGAGTCAAAATGTACTATATTAAAGGCATCAAACGTAAATTGAGTAACAAGATTTTGGAAATGTTGCTAGGGTAATCGAGGGCAACTAGATGATAGAACAAATACGATGGGAGAGATGGGAGACGAACGAGTTGTAAATGACATAGATCTTGACTTTCGAGTATATAATAATGGTTGATGTATCGATGTTGGTGAGTACAAGGAGGCAGGAAAAAGAATTTATACTATGAGATTTTTGTTTAGCTGTATATCCAATGAAATTTCGTTAGCAGTTTTATTATTTGTACAAGTTTGTCGATAAAATAACTTATACAACCTTTGTTGAACTATTTGACTGAGTATATGCTGTGTTTTGGGCCTTTTGGCTAACTAATTAAAATTTAAGAATAAGTCGCAATATTTACAAGTGTTTTCATTAATTTACAAGATCGGATGTCTTGAACGTGTTAGGTTAAGTATTCATAAAAAAATCACTAATTTGTAAGATTATGCATATATTAAGAAAAAAACCTGCGTGTCTACGCGAGTATTTAATCTAGTGTCCTTTATACGTTAGTTACTTAGTTTAGTTTCGAGAATCAATCTCGGACAAATGAAAAAGACATTAAGAAGTATGCTTTTTCCATGCAATTCATGAATTACTTTAAAACAATTAAAATATAAAAATATGCCGGACGTGAATAAAAATCAACAAATATATGCCGATTTTTTTGACTCTCTGTATGGACAATTTAATACTCACAAAGTAAAATAACAAATCTCCAATATTCCTTACTTGTAAAAACTGTAAAATTTACAACATACATGATTTCACGAGAATTACACAAATGTAAACAATTCTTGAAAAAGCTGAAACTCGATCTCCCTCTCGCTTCAAGAGGGGATTAGATCATACAATACAAATTGAGAAATTTACTACTAGCGGGTGGTAGGTACTTAACTTCCACCTCTGCATCAGTAAAACATAAAAACAAACCTTTAACCAATAATAGAAACAAAGGTTCACCAAAAGATGACTTCATCGAGGCCTTGTGCAAAATCAAGCACTCGAAGAAGCACCACTTCTTTTTAGGTAAACCCCAAACTAAAAGAAGGACCAAATTACTAATATGCCCTTCTCTAAGCTTTG